ACCCCCTACCCTTGTCCCCCCCCCCTCCCTCCCTCCCTTATCCCCGTCTCCTTCCCATTTATATCTTCCTTCACCACCTTTCCCTCTTCCTTCTATTATTATCCCTGATGCTTCCTTCCTACTTTCATCTCTGTTCCTTCAATTCATCGCCCTTTCCACGCCCTGGATTCCCTGTCTTCCATCCCAGATTTCCCTCTCTCTCATTTTCCCTTCTTCCCTCTCTGGTTCTTCCCTTTCATGGATCAAAAGTTATTCGTCAATCTTCTTTATTCTTATGTCTGCCCCCCTCTACCCCCCCCCTCGTTAGAGTGTCTAACCCCCCCTATGGGAGGGGTTAAACAGGGAGCCGGTCGGCCGAGCAAACAGTACGCTGGACTTGTAATCCTGTGGTCCTGGGCTCGATTCCAGACGCCGGCGAGAAACAATGGGCAGAGTTTCTTTCACCCTATGCCCCTGTTACCTAGCAGTAAAATAGGCACCTGGGTGTTAGTCAGCTGTCACGGGCTGTTTCCTAGGGGTGGAGGCCTGGTCGAGGACCGGGCCGCGGGGACACTAAAAAGCCCCGAAATCATCTCAAGATAACCCCCCTATTACCCCCAGATACTTTCACTCTCACATGCGTCGTAGAGATGTCAGTAAGTTTTCTTTAAGCGTAGAGTAATTCGTTGAGGCGACCTCAATCCACGACCTTAAAGGTACGTCTGATAGCGAAATATGTCAGGAGCCATTTACATTAGATAACTAGCGGCTAGAAAAGCAGAGTCCGAGAGCTAGAGTTCAATCCTGCAGACACAAATAGGTGAGTACACACAGGCACGAACGCACGCACAAGCACGCACATAGGCACGAACGCACGCACAAGCACGCACGCGCGTGGATAATGTTTGATATTTCGCTGTCTATGTATCCGGGATCGATTCTCCCGACTGAGGCAGAAACAAACAGGCAGAGTTTCTTTTACCTGATACCTCTGTTTACCTAGCAGTAACTAGGTACCAGAGAGTTATCTGCTGTGGGCTGCATCCTGGAGATGTGTGTGTGTGTGTGTGTGTGTGTGTGTGTGTGTGTGTGTGTGTGTGTGTGTGTGTGTGTGTGTGTGTGTGTGTGTGTGTGTGTGTGTGTGTGTGTTTTAGAGAGAAATATATGTAGTAGATATGATAAAGTAAAATAGGTCGAGAGTCAGTACATAATACAACCGAAGGTTAGAAAGTCGGGGGTCCAAGAGCTAAAACCTCGATCCTGCAGGCACAAATAGGCACACCCCCCTCCCCCTCAACCCCCCCCCATGCATATGAGATAGATACCTTTGACGGCTGCTCTTACGACCTTTTGAACACTGACGGAAAGAAACCCCTTTAAGGAGATTCCAAAAGTCGAGTACAAGTTGTTGCTCAGAATTCTAAGAGTGAGAGTCAAGTGGGAGAGGCGGGACGAGGAGGAGGAGGAGGAGGAAGAGGAGGAGAGGAGGCAAACAAGCAGAGGCATTCAGGAGTGGATTTTCAGGTGTTTTCAAAAGAGGTTTAGTTGATTGATTGATTTTATTCCAAGATATTCTGAAAACTGGAGAGAGAGAGAGAGTATAGGAACTTGTTTTGAGAGTCTGAAAATGGGCTGGAATGCCTTCTTTTTTTTTTAAAGGCATTCCAGCCCCTTTTCATTCAACACCAACACACATTTGTGTGTTGGTGTTGAATAGTGATATATTCCTCTAGCAGTGTATTTAAGACGTACAAAAAAAAAATTCTTTTCACAAACAAAAATGTGCTTTTGAACCTCTGAATAAATTTTGTGACGTCTCTTCTCACTGGATTTTACACCAAATCTGAAAAGACTCTTCGGGGGAGACTGAAGGTATTAAACATGAATGACCAGGTGTGTATAACTCTCACTATTCACCTGTTCTGATTCACTCACTATTCACTATTCACCTTCACCTGTTCTGATTCACTCACTATTCACTATTCACCTTCACCTGTTCTGATTCACTCACTATTCACTATTCACCTTCACTTGTTCTGATTCACTCACTATTCACTATTCACCTTCACCTGTTCTGATTCACTCACTATTCACCTTCACCTGTTCTGATTCACTCACTATTCACTATTCACCTTCACCTGTTCTGATTCACTCACTATTCACTATTCACCTTCACTTGTTCTGATTCACTCACTATTCACTATTCACCTTCACTTGTTCTGATTCACTCACTATTCACTATTCACCTTCACCTGTTCTGACAGCTGATCTGTGCCCAGGAAGCCTCACCCACTTGTTCATCGTACAACTAATACACTATAGGTTACCTAGCAGTAAATAGGTACCTGGGAGTTAGTCAGTTGTCACGGGCTGCTTCCTGGGGGTGGAGGCCTGGTCGAGGACCGGGCCGCGGGGACACTAAAGCCCCGAAAACATCTCAAGATAACCTCAAGATAACCTCAAGATAGGTCCAACAGCCTGGTTGACCAGTCCAGCTATGAGGAGGCCTGGTCGGCGACCGGACCGCGGGGACGCTAAACCCCGAAAACACCTCAAGATAACCTCAAGGTAACCTTAAGGTAGGTTGCAGCCCATAACTGAAGTTATGTATCTTACCTTACACCATATATTTAGAAATTTCGGATATCCAAACGCCGGGTTCGCGGATAGCAGATCCTGTAATCTTAGGCCGGATATCATTGCGTTCGGGAATAGCGTAAAGATTCATTCAGGAACAAATCCATATTTTCAGTTAACAAGAGCGATACAAAAAATATACGCAAAAATCATTAATTGAGATTTGAACACACACGATCTAGGATTTTGTCGCAATTACGATAATGTATGACTGTATTATACAGCAAGTGCTTCACGTCATGCCTGTAACTGTGTAACTGTTTGTACGTTGAACTGTGAAACTGTTTGTACGTTTAACTGCGTAACTGTTTGTATCTTTGAATGTTTAACTGTCTTTACCCATGTCTGTAAGTAATTATGTAACTGTACCTGTAACTGAATAACTATGTAACTGTCTGTTTGGATTTCTGTCGGTCTGTGTGTGTAATTACCTAAGTGTAGTTACAGGATGAGAGCTACGCTCGTGGTGTCCCGTCTTCCCAGTACTCTTTGTCATATAACGCTTTGAAACTACTGACGGTCTTGGCCTCCACCACCTTCTCACTCAACCTGTTCCATCCGTATGTATGTATGTATGTATGTATGTATGTATGTATGTATGTATGTATGTATGTATGTATGTATGTATGTATGTATGTATGTGGATGTTTTTGGAACTAAATGGACCGATTATCGACGCTGACCGAGCAAAGAGAATTTTCTTATAAATGGTCTTTGCCAATTAGCAATTGAAATATTTTTTTTTTTTTTAGTCATGTGCTAATTGATATATTGCCAGAGGTATGTTGTTGTCAACCAATCAGGGTTGAAAGACCGATTGACAGACAAATATGTCAACCCCAATCACCTCAATCACCAAAATTATCAACACCCACTCCTCACCACCACACCACTGGACAACCACACCATCAACCACACTACCAACCACACCACTAACCACCCCACCAACCACACTACCAACCACACTACCAACCACACTACCAACCACACCACCAACCACCCCACCAACCACACTACCAACCACACTACCAACCACACCACCAACCACACTACCAACCACACCACCAACCACCCCACCAACCACACTACCAACCACACTACCAACCACACCACCAACCACACTACCAACCACACCACCAACCACCCCACCAACCACACTACCAACCACACTACCAACCACACCACTAACCACCCCACCAACCACACTACCAACCACACCACCAACCACCCCACCAACCACACTACCAACCACACCACCAACCACACTACCAACCACACCACTAACCACCCCACCAACCACACTACCAACCACACCACCAACCACACTACCAACCACACTACCAACCACACCACCAACCACACTACCAACCACACCACTAACCACCCCACCAACCACAACAACAACAACCACACTACCACCATCGT